GAACCAATCTGCCGGCTTGGTGATCAATCTATCTGATGCAGGACTCGGCGCTGCAAGCAATTAAATTGATTTGCGATAGACGACTGCAGCCACCTACGACAAAATGCAACTCTTGGGACCTGTGCCTGTTTGCCTGTCGACTCCTCGCCCGAGAAGCTACATCATGTCGTGACATCCGTACTCCGGCTCCGGTTTGTGGTTTATTTTCCAATCCGTATCAGTTCTCACATTTATCTGACTTCAGCTGACAGGCGGGATATGTTTGAATCAAACCAACCGGCCGGGGAAGAGTCCAGGTTTCCGGCGCGGACAGATCTCTGGGACGATCCGCAGCGAGCAAATCCAGGGGTTGGTCATCACACATCATCACACATCATCACACTTCACATGTCTGCTTTGCGGCCCTTTTGCCCCTCTCTATGGTTGCAATCCCGAGTCAATGCCCTGCCGGCATGCTTGTGAGCATACCGAGTCCCGTTGGTGTCAACATGCGAGGCTTGCAAACTATTGTGGTGTCTGGTATCGAAAAACAAGGAGGTGAACCTGTTTGATACTTGTCAATAATTCAGAGAGCTAATGATGGCGTGGTTCGATAGGGGAATAGTGTCATCCTAACCTGCCACCCACGTGCGCCGTTCCGTGGCATTGGGATACGGAATTGCCTCTCTTGGATCATTTCGGACACCGAGGGGGAGATAAAAAGGTCAGATGAAACTCGTGAGACTGGACCTTCCCTGTCGAGCCTGCTAGGGAACGATAGAAGGTCGAGAGATTGATGGCCATCACGGTCCAAGGTCCCCTCATGAGGCAGGTAACAGGTGTGGTTACAGAGGACGTCTGCGGGACCGGGTATTTTGAATGCGGGGGAAGTTCATTAATACGTGGGGGTTCGAGGGGCAGCCATGTGCACGAAAACGCTCGCTCTGATTGGCCGGCGCATCCGGGGACGCAGGCTGACACTTCAGCAGTTCTCCTCAGAGCAGGTGACCGCCGCGAGCCGCAAGCGAACGGGAGCAGTCCGTGTGCACCCGAATTGCAATTCGCCACCAAGAGGGGAGAATGCAAAGACACCACATTCGACTGTCGTGAGCCGCGGTTTCTTTTGATGACCAGAAAGACAGCAAAGCCTGTTTGCTTCATCTTAGCTCATCGGCTGAGAAACCCAAGCTCTGCAAAGGAGAACATGGCAGAAACTGACATGTCCCATATGATATGAATATGGCCTGAGGGTTTTTGGTGCAACGCTGGGGTTTGATGGGGAGATCAGATTCGCTTGTCTAACCCGATTAGCGTCCCAGAGCTCCGGAGATTGAAGCTGCAACCGACACACAGGTGACGGACCCCCGCGTTGTAATAAAGGGAAAACCGGACTTGTTCCTGACGGTGGCCTCCGGCAGCAGCTTGTTGGAGTCTTGATATTGTTGCTTTTTTTCTCTCTCCGGCTGCTTCATCCTAGCCTCCGCGAACCTAGCGCTCCCGGTTTTCAGGAATTGGCCATCAGGGTCCTTGGTACCAGTACCTCTTTGATAGGGAATTTGTAAAGACAGGTGGTTTTCCTAATCTGGCTGAAGTCGTTGAGAGACCTGTAACAAGACTATCGAAGAGGGACATTTACCTGATAGAAAGTACAGCGCAGATTTCTTGTTCTCAGCCACGCAAACGTGGCGGGAAGGTCGGTTGGACAGATCCCATGGCCGTGTTCCCATCCCTTTCCCCATCATTGGTTGCAAAGCCACTTCAACATTTGCATCAACCAGCCCGTGTCTTGCGCATGTCACGAGGCTGAAATTCAGAATACCCAATTTCCAGGGAGCATATGCGCCCCGTTCCCAAGCCCACGACGTCGATATTACCAGGTTCCGTCAACCACTGCGCTGGAAGAATCTGGGGAAAGCGACGAGTGCTGATTGTGAGATAACAAGGGGGAAATTCGACCTGATTTTGGCAAGAGAGAGTGGATGAATCACCTCCAAACTACCGGAACAGCAGGGCCGCTTCCGCTGACAGGGACCGTGGCGGCGGCACAGTTGCCTGTGAGCAAGAAGAGGTCTTGGCCACAGCATCTCTAACTCGGTTTTGGCAGTGATGAAGGCTGTTGTCAATCCTCGGCGTGGGGTGGTGCGCGTGTTGGCTCATGCGAAGGGGAGGAGCATGAAACCATTTCAGAGCTGGCAGAAGAAAGGTCAGATATCCCAAAAACAAATCTGAGAACTGCGAATCAATGCAAGACAAAAGACGCAATCTGTGTCTGGCGGTCCATCATCATCATACGCTGTGCCAGGTCGGGCCCAGACTGTGACTTCAGGCCGATGTTCGGGCTGTTGTTGGTTGCAGATGCTTCCAGGGTCCAGTCAGTATGTGATATCGTGGTGCCGAGGGGCTGGGGTCGTCAGATATCCCGTGCTTGGTGTTGCGATAGGAGGAGAGACGGGGCGCATATGAATTATGAGTGTCTGCCTGATGGTATTTGAGAAGCGACGTGATATCGAGCCCCGCGCGAGTGCGTTCATCGCCTTGAACAGCTGGCGTGAGGGATTGGTTGCGACAATCGGAATGGGGCCCAGCGGGATCACGAGGGCCAGCGGGGTGAAGGGGGCACAAAAGGAGAGCCAAGCCTGGAGCAAAAACACTCTGGAGGTGACCAAACACATCACCTGCCAGACCGACCACTCAGCGGTCGCCATCACAGGTCGTGTCAGCAAAACGAGAGTGCTGCTGTCACCGATTCGACCGCAGGCTTGTCCTAACCGGCGAATTGGTCCTCTGGCCTCGCTATTCTGGTCTCTTGGAGCGCTTTCAACAAGAGGCGTCACGGCGTGTGTTGATTTTCCACTGGCATTGAGCCTAGAGGTGAGCTTGGGGCTGCTGACTGATGGTGACGTCTCTGTGTCTGTAATTTGGGGAAATGCCATAGGCTGGGGGCGGCGAATGGGCAATTCACGAGGCCGGCTCGTGATCACGGGTTGATCAACAACAGGCACGCTGGCGCGCCTCAGAAAGCCGTGGGCCGAATTTACTGGCGGACCAGCGACCCGCTGAGACGGCGGCTTCAGGTGAGCGCTGGTGGCGATTTGTGGGGAAAAAAGGCCTAGGCTTCCCCAGCCAGAGCACCTGACTTCTGGCTCGACAGACAGCAGGGCACCCGACGCAAGGCTCCCTCCTGACTGAACACTCTCGAAGGGAGATGGCCGTTTTGAGGACCTGGGAAGAGCTCAGATGGACGCAAATGTGAGCAACGGCAAAGCAAAACGTTTCTCATGAGCACAGCAAAAACAAGACGCTGCTGGCTTGTGCCGGCAGATTTCCCCGGGCGCTCTCTGTCTTGTCTTTTTCAGGGAATTGCTTCTCTTTTGGATGCTTGGCGCCATATCAACGTGACCTCCATTCCTTTCCGGGTATTAGCTAAACCTTTTGGGAAAGTTACCATCTCCCCTTGGCAGAAGAACACCGTTTGCGAAAACGCGCATGATCCCACACAAGCCGAGAGTGAGCCCGAACCCCACGGCAAGACAAACTGCCCAGAATGGTTAGCCTGAACTGTATAACGCTAAGCTATCTGGGGCACCATCTTCTTCATACTCTTGCCCCATAAGGATAAGTGTCAACCCACTCTAGCTCAAGGCTTTTCGGTCCGTTCGTGCGTGCGAATTGCACACTTATCCCTGAGTCCCGAGAAGCCAAAACCCCTTGCCCAGGTGTCAGAACTGCCCTCAAGAGTTCGTCAGAGCAAGCGTCCTGTCTGTCCCAGCAAGAATAGGTGGCCGCGTGTGCCCTTCATAGATCACAAGCTCGTCCGTTTTCACAAGGGGCATCAAAGAAAAGGAAGAAAAGGAGGGCTTTTGCTGACAATAACGACGGGAGTTTTTGCGGGGAAAGAGTGACTTTTGGAAGAGAACCTGGAACCTTCAGGTGCCTTTTAACCCCCCCCCCCCCTGCTTTCAGGTCCCTGTCGGTACGTCGGGAACTTGTTGTCTTGTACATGTACCGGCGACTGCGAGCGACAGGGATAAGGTACGCTGACAGGGGGCGCTCTCAGGTCGTGGGTACCTGCCCAAGGCAATTGGTTTTATTCACCGCGCAATTGAAATCCACTCCCCACCCAACTCCCACGCACCCAGGGCCGATCCACCACTCGGCGTCCCTACAATTGCCTTATTACATGAACATCCGCTCCCCACCACACACACCTCCCTTTCCTCTCCATCTCTGGTCTACCACCAACCGACCTTGAACCAACATCGTCGACATTCGATATTCGATCACCAGCAACAACTACCTGCTCTTCGAATCGAAGCTACAGTGTTACTGACGAACAAGACTTTCGCTGCGACTCACTCCATCAGTCGTCGCCGCACAGAAAAAGAGAAAACGTCGACGGGTCCACCAACAGTTTGAACTGGAAGGTCGACTAGGAGGAACAGACTTCGACTACAGTCACCACAACCAGAGTTTCCAGACGTCCATCCGAGCCAATACGAGCAATCCGCCAGGTCTCGAACGTGCGCCGTTGGTGAAGAGCAGATCCCCAAAAACGTACGGATCGCTTCGAAACCTTTTGATTCCTTCAAATACGTGGGACCGACCTTCGCGATCGACCGTCGCGAATAATTTGCCACGATTCATCCTGACTGCACTGTAGAATCTGCTCGAGCACCCGAGCAGCCACAGCAGTCATCATGCCGCAGTCCTTAGAGATACCCGTGCTCACAGTGGATGCCAATGTCATTCACAAGGTGGACACCACCAATCCAGAGAACCTATTCAGCATGTGGACAGGTGAGTTTCTGACTCGACTCGGCTCTCTGCGGCCCAAGTCGTGCTAACACACTATCGCAGTTTTCGCCAGATGCCGTGACTCAGTTGCCCACGGCAGAAGACTAGAAAACCTCAGTGGCGCCTCTGGAACAGAGAAACCTTTTGCTGCGAGAACGGTGAAGTTCTCGTCTCGTCCTCCGCCACAAGCCAACCCCGAGATATTCAGTATCCTCGCGGCGCGAGCGATGAGGAGCTTCCGCAGCTCTCCGCCAGCGTCGACTCGGTCGCTGACGAAGAGGCCGTTGACCTTTCATCCGAGCAAGCCCCCTTGGACATTGTACGCCCAAGAATACTCAGACAGGATTCTTGCGCCAGCAGCCGTAGTCGAGGCCGTGAAAGGCACATCACTTCGGACGAGTTGGAGAAGATGGTCGTTCAGATCATGGATGGAAAGGCCCCTCTTCAACCCATTGAGTACACGCTCCCTGCATCGATCGAAGAGAAGCCATCGTGCCCACCCGACAGCGAACACTCCGGCTCCACTACCGACGAATCCCCCCAGACCTCCGAACACAACACTCCTCATTCCCTGCCCTCGGAGCCCGAAAACACTCCCGAGGAGCCGGCAATGCAGACAATTGTGACCCGTGGCTTTTCCACCTCTCCGTTGCCTGCGTGCCGTATCACCTCGCCAGCCGCTTCTCCCGCTCCTCACAATGACGCCATCCCTCTTCCTACTGAGGCCCCAGCGCCCAAGTTTGTCCAGCCCAAGAAGCAAGCTGCGAGGTTTGCTCTTGGCGGTTCTGGGTCGTGCTCATCGGGCTCAGATAACTCCTACAGCCCCGAAAAGGTCGAGATCAGGAAGCAGGTCCCGACCAAGTCCAAGATGTTCCAGCTTGGAGTTGCCTCGTCAGACGAGGATGGATCTCTCAAGGTCCCCGAAGTCCTCAACAGAGCCCCCTCCGTGATGAACGCGCACAAGAAGACTGCTTCCTTCAACAACGAGGTGGTTACCCAAACATTTGAGTCTTCTGCTATCAGTGACTCTGAGTCCGAGTATCTTGACGAGAGCGCAATCGATGATGATGAGGATGACTGGGAGGAGGACGAGTCGGCCGAGGAGAGTGGCAAGTCAAGCATGGAGGACAAGATCCACTTCAAGCGCGTTGACTCAACTGCCAACCTTACCTCAAGGCGATCTCTCCTTACTCTCGCTTTGGCGGGCAACAGCGGTCTTAGCCGTGCTCAAAAGTACTCCAATATTGCTTCGCAGTCTACCTCGGCCATCCCCCGCACTCGGGCCGCACTTAACGGACCATCCGTCGTCACTTCCCCGAATGACTCGGATGACGCCCCACTCATGATGAAGAACAGGGGCCCTTCTCGCGCCCCCCCAATGCGCCCGATCACCGAGATTCCTCGGTCCCAAGCTCAGCCCATCAACACAATGGCCATGGGGATGCACCATCAGGCCGCCTTCTCCCCGCGCACCACTCGGCGCAACATGCTGGCTACCGAGCTCACAGAGTCTCTCCGAAGAAACCTTCTCCACGAACGGTCGCAAAAAACGTCGACTGCTAATGCCGTCCTTAAGCGACGCCACACTTCCCACGATGTTGCCAATCTCAAGCAATATCCAGAACGTCCTTACATGAAGAAGGACAACGAGACCAACAACCGGGTCTGGGACGACCAAGTCTTCGACAAGAACGCCTTCACCGGCTACCATGCTCAAGGCTGGTAAACACCCACCGGCCAAACACATCAACCACGACATATAACCCATCATCGCACATAACACACACGTCTTTACTTTTAAGATACCCAGGGAGGCAGCAACCGTGGCATCTGGCAAGCGGTCATGCTGTCGTGTATTATTTTTTGATTCGAGCATTTGCGAAAGCGGCTACGGTTTTACGACACATCATGCATGAATCGGAAGGCGTTTTGCAGTTTAATGGGCATCTTTTCATTCCGGCATTGCATTCATCAATTCGACCCCTTAATATCTGGGAGGTGGGAAAGGTTAAACTAGTTTGGGGGTCGAATGGTCTTGGGCTTGGCATGGCTATGGTTTTTGACCGATGTTTACAATGGATGGCATCACTGCCCTCGGGCTCTCTTTGGTTGGGAGAGCTTTTCTGCTTTTCATCATTGTGCAAACATTTGAACCGGCGTTTTTCTTTTTCTTTTTTGGGTTTGGGGTCACATGATACCACGATCAGTCAGCATTGTTTTTTTCCCGACCTGATCGACTGTTTTCATCTTCTGTCATAGCAATTGGTCATGGGATTGGGCCATTGCAAGTTTTTTTTTTCTTTCTTCACATGCACACACAACACACCACGCATCAACAAAAAAAAGAGGAGCAACGAAAAAGGGTCGGACGGACTGGCGGTGGGCTTTAGGTGGGCGGGGGTGTATGTACGTTATGGCTGAGCCGGATCGGACCCTTCTCCTGGTCGTGGTGGTGGTGGTTGGCAAAGTTGTGTGGGGCATGCAGAGCTAGCAAGGAGGAAGGGGTGGTGGGTGGTGGTGACAAAAAAGTATTGCGTGTTGCAAAACACTGCGGGCTGGATGGATGGAGGGAGATGGGGGGAAAGAATAGGAAGCTAAAATTCCATGATTATGAAAAGGAAAATGGAACAAAAAAAAACAGAAATTAACTCAAAAAGAACAGAACAAAACAAAATGAAAATTATTATGACAACTTGTTGTGCTTATTGCTTGATTGTGACTGCTTGATTTGATGATCCTTTAAGGAGCGGTATTGTGTCACCTTATCCTAGGTCCGGGAACATACGGCACTGTTAAATGTCAACAACGTCTTGGTGGTGCATGGCATGATGAAAATGCGGGGAAGTGTAGTGTCTGTTCCATGATGAGAGGGGTGCCATGATCCACGTTTTTCCAATCTTGAAGCCTGGGAAAAGCATGTGAAATTCCATTTTACATGGACTTTTACACATGACATGTCTCTGGTACCTGATGTCTTTTGACAATTTGACATTTGACATTTGGCACAATGCGGGGGAAGGCTTCGACGGGGAAAAGAAGGGGGTGTTCGAGATCGCCTCCCGTGGTGGTGGGTGTAGTGGTACGATGTTTCTTTGCTGTGGTCACAGTGTGCACAAATGGGCGGTGTTTTGTTTGGGAGTTTCAAAAGGGGGTTGCCTTTTGCATTGATGAGGACTCGTGATAAAGATATTCCATATCTTGTGATGGGGACGTAGTTGTGATGAGGACAGGGGGACGTGTGAGTTGGTTTAACGGCTCGTAGGTAGGCAGGTAGGTAGGTCTCCGCTTTATCCCGGTATATTCTCATTGTGTTTTTCGAACTTCAGATGGTCGTCGGTCTGCTGCTAAGCAGGCTCTGCGTCATGTTTCGTGAAAGTTTTGACATGTGAAGCTCTTGTTTCTTTCTCTCTCCCACGAAGGGGTGGCTGTATGCTGCAACTTAGTAACCGTTTCCTTCCTGTCACGGGGAAAGAAAAAGACGTTTTTTCTTTGTTTCTTCACGGATCCTCCACAAAACCAGTTGCTTACCTATATCAGGGACCACGTGTATTTGTGGTGGACTTTAGGTGAACAAAGGAATCAAGCCTTGGGATGGGGGATGCCACCTCGATCAGGGTCTTGAGATCTGATTGCCCTAGGCTTTTGGGCTTGTCTGATGACAAGTTTCTGAGATCTGGACAGCCAGTGGCCATGCTCTGGATCCTGGCCTTGGAATATCTTGACCGTTTTGTGAGGATTATTATGTGCTGTTGCTTTGATATGAATCTCTAAATCCGTACATCAACCTTGAATGGTACAAACCATGAATACAAACAAATTACCCGGACACCTCCCCCTCCTACCCAACCCTTCCCCGGCATGGTGTGTGCAAATGTCACTTTACCAGGGGCGTCGTTAATTCTTCCCATGACAGGTACTTCGGTACCTGCCTCCCTCCACCATCCATTGGCTTTCAAGCTACGCGCACTACCGAACGGGTACGACTTTATCCCCTCCATTTTGCCGGTTGGTGAGGCTGCCAGCTGCTCCTCCCAAGGGTCCAGAACACCCCCCATTCGAAAACCTCAGACCAGAAGCATATCTTTGTTGTCCAAAGGGGTGTGTTGCATTCATCTCCACTGCCGGGCAGTATACCCTCTCAATTGCTCGGTTTGGGGGAAACCTAAGATGATGAGAACTGATGAGAGTGTTGCCGCCATATTGCTGAGTTGTCCAGAGCCTTATGGTAGTAGAATAGGCATTGAAAACCCTGTGGTACTACCTGACTGCGAGGGCGGGTGGCACCCTACCAACGGTTTGAGCGCATCTCCCCGGGGTCTAGAATTCTGTGTTGCCGGCGTGAAGAAGTGAAGCCCGGAAACAACAGCGGAGGGTGCCTTGCCATGCCCACGTTTTCGGTCATTGTCCATGCCTGGCTGTCCTTTTTGTTTACCCCGGAATGTGGCGGTCTTTGAACCATGGTTTGCATCATCTCCCGGCCATTGTCTTTCAGGGGCACCGGGCCGTGGAGGTCAGTGGAAGAAACGCCAGTTCAACCATTGTTGTTTGCAAAGGTGTCAAAAAGGGGGTAGCGCTGAGAAGAGGTCATGAGGTTATGAGAGATTTTGAAGAATGTCAATGCATGCAGGCTCGCCAGGAATCTGATGAGACTAGGCCCAATTGTCAGTTGGGCAGAGGTGAGGGTGGATATGATATATGCGGCACAAGAGCAAACGAGATCCCGAGACATACATTGCTTGCTTGACCCGCATTGAAGCGACGCCTCTATTGCCTGCACAACATACTCGCCGTCAGATCCACCTTGATCAAGAGCTCGCGGCTGCCGGTGTTTGCCGGTGTCGATAGACACCGTCTCAGCCTTTCCTTGTTGGTGATTTTGCGTGGCTGTTAGTGTGAGTGTGTATTATTTTTGTTACTCAACCCATATAGGTAGGGCCCCTGAATATCAACTTTGACGATGGCAGCGTAAGCAGCGCGCGATGATGTCTGAGTGAAGTCTGGGGTCAATCGGTCCACCGATCCGGGGTCTCCGGAGCCCCGCATCGGGCGGCTGCGGGGTGAACAGACAAGGCCACGAGGGTGCTCAAAGACTTTAAACCGGAAAGTCAAAGTACAATGGTGAAAGGCTGACAAAACGGACCTAGAAGCGGTAGAGCTTGCGGCGGTTATCGTGTGTATGGGAAAACGGTAAGAGTTACGAAAACAGGCAGCTATCGACGGAGATGTCGATGGCTGATGTTGAAGGCAGTAGCTGAAGGTGGGGCCAATGGGAGACAGCATCTTGAATAAGCCCCACTATTCACCCGTTTGGTTACTTGCTGACATGGGACTCTCTTAGATGACTGGTAATTCGGACTAGCTCCTAGCTAGACTTGCTATACCCAAGGCTCCCGCCTATTTGCGATTTTCTAATTTTTATTTTTTAATTAATATTTTTTTATTTACTTATAAATGTCTGGGCTACATACTACTAATATATATATCTTAAGCATTACTTAATTAATTATCACGCAGTTTAAAAATTTAGGCATAAAATAACCAATATAATTGAAGTTACAATATTGATTAGATTAAGGGATTATATAAGTACGTATGTCTAAGTAATTGTTAAAATTGGTCTCTGTGAAGCCTATTTTACAGTGGGTTTACTGCTGTAATACTACGTCTGTCACGGTTTTGGGAGCAGGTGAAGACGCAAAGAATCAATCAGGACTGGACCGGGCGATTGAGCGGGGTCACGGTCTAGGTGGACAAGATAGACTAATAACGAACCAGGATTGTTTAGAGGTGGCTTCAACTAGTATCCTTTTCAAAGGTTCTAGATAGGGGTTTGTCACAATGTGGCGTCGGTTAAGATAGAATTAGTGCTGACAGCTAAGATATCTCGTACGGCACCTACTCGGCAACCCTACAAGGTATCTACCAATGCTATAAGCTTTTTCGAAGCCTTGCATCTAGCGCTACCGTGGACTAAAATGGCTTAGATTTTATATTTAGACTATTAAAGGCCCTATAAGTGCCCTATGGAAGTTATGTCCCAACGGGCTCATAACTACCCGTACTTACAGTAAGCCGGTAGCCGAATTTTCTTTATTTTGTATGGGCGTGAGCATGTCTTTTAGCGAAACGCAGCTAAATCGTCGTCTTCTAAATCAAATTCTAGCTCATTTGCCTGTTGTAATATGCGAAGCCTTCGTAGGTATAAGGTAGTAGTCGAGTACGAACTCTACTACAGAGTTTTACGTTAGTATATAGCAATTTATTATTAAATTATAGAAGGTTACCCTTTTTTACTTTATTATCACAGCGTCTACAGCGCTGTAGCTCCAGTACACTTAGTAGTGAGCCATAGGTCTTATATAAGTGTCACAGACCAACCATATAGCAAGACAAAGTGGGGACTGCAGCAGGCCGTGGTGACCAGTTAAGTAATAGATAACAGCGGGGCTGTAGGACAGTGGGGCGCTCACCTCTTGGCAGAGGTAAGCCGGCTCGCCAGGAGCGCTGGGTGAGCGAGGTAAGCCAGGATGGATCACCAGGAGCGCTTGGTGATCGAGGTGATCCAGGTACGGAGGTACCTAGAGGATTGAGGTCTATATATACGGAGGAACTGGCCGGTATAGATAGACAGTTCCGCAGTATGCAATTCAGCTTGTATTCACGGTATCTAGTGTTTACATTGAGACATCTTTGTTGTGCACTATTTAGCTGCACCGAACTAATCGT